ATGCCCCAGGCACCAGACCAGGGCAGCCCCGGAGTCCCTCATACCCACCTTGCACCAGCACTGGGTACACCCAGGCTCTGTCCAGCGACTCCCCAGCTCATGCATGGCTCCCTGGTGCCAGCAGGGAGAGGGCCCCAGGAGAGGATAAACACCCATATTCTTAACAGGACCTCCACAAAGCTCCTCAACCTTCCCATGCACTGGCATCACTGAGATTCTCATTCAGTAAGCCTGGGGTGGGGCCTGAGAGTCTGCATTTCCAAGGGGCTCCCAGGGTGGCTGAGGCTGCTGGAGATTACACAACAGGGCCCTACAAAGCCTCGCGGGTTCAGCCCTGTACACCTCTATCCTTACCGTCTCCATCTTGATCTCTGGGTCTTCTCTCCTTGCCAGTGCTTCCTCTCCTACCCCAGGGCTTTCGAACATGCTGCTGTCTCTCCCACTTCTCGAGGCCTTGTTAATACCTGCTTTTCCTTTGTATCTCAGTTCACTTGTTGTTTCCCCAGCCAAGCTTTTGCAGCCCTGCCTCTATTTTCATGGGCTCATTCTATCCCCACTTTGTAGTGCTCACCATGGTTATGATTGTGCGTTCGTTTCTGCCGTTGTTACACGTAAACTCCATGAAGCGGGGCTGTGTCTGTTTTGGCTCAAGGTGATGTCCCAGAACACAGTGTTTGGCATACAGTAGTTCCTCAGTGAATGAATGAAATTTTATTGGATGTCTACATATGCGGAGCCCTAGCTGGTAGAATTCTTTCCTTCCAAGTGAGAGACCCGAGTTCGATTCCCAGCCAGTGCTATTTAAGTGCTGCCACCACTCTCTGTCAGTGGAGGCTTGCGTGTTGCTGTGATGCCAAACAGGTTTCAGTGGAGCTTCCAGACTAAGACAGACTAGGAAGAAAAGCCCAGTGACCTACTTCCAAAAATTGGCCAGTGAAAGCCCTAAGGATCACAGTGGGCCTGTCTGCAACCGACCATGGGGATGGTGTAAGATCAGGCAGCATTTCATTCTATTGTGAATGAAGCTGGGGCCAACTTGATGGCAACTGACATCAACAAAAAATTTAAAGCAACAACAACAAAAAAACAAACCTTGTGCTGTGGAGTCAATTCTGACTTATAGCGACCCTATAGAACAGAGCAGAACAACCCCATAGGGTCTCCACAAGGGGTGGCTGGTGGATTCGAACTATGTCACCAGGGTTCCAACAACAGACTAGGTCTTGGGAATATAACTGAGACAAGACACAGTGCTTGTCCATGAAGGGGCACAAAGTCTGGTGGGTAAGACAGACAGGGAAGGAGGCATTGGCTATAGGCCACTCTAGAGTCAGTGCACTGAGGGGGTGAGTGAGCCCCAGAAGTGGTGGATGTGCATAGCCCCCACTCAGGAAGGGCAGAGAAGCTTCCCAGTGGGAAAAGTGTCAAAACTTAGACCTGAAGGATGCGTTCATCTGGAAAAAGGGGTTGTGGGGCCTGAGTGGACAAGGCAGAAAGCTTGGGGTGGGGGGCGGCCTGCAGGGGGAAGGGCCGAGCAATGGCGCCAGCTGCTGTGAGGGCCTGCAGGACATGGAGGGTCTTGAGACTGCCAGGCTGGAGTTTTGAAGGCTCAGTCCAGATTTTTGAGGCAGATCAGACGCCAGGAGGCCAGCGAGGAGGCTGTGGCAATGGTCAAGGTAAGCGAGAACAGTGACCTCCGAGATAGGCAGGAGTTGTCAGATTCCAGAGAGATTCTGGAGCCACCAAGAACCAGCCTCCATTCCTGCAGTGACTAGGTTTTAAAGGTTTTAAGCATCGCTGAGTACTCCGTCCCAGGTGCTGGTTCATCACCGATGAACTGAATAGACACACTCCACCGGAGAGATGGACGATAAATATGCAAACAGACAAGCACTATCTATAATGACACTTCCCTTTAAATATTATGAGGGAAATGGATGGGAGAGAGAGTAAAGTGGGGACTCACTTCCAGGGTGGCCAGGAAAGCCCGTCTGAGCTGAGCCCGGAAGGATGGGAAGGAGCCAGCCCAGGACTGTCTGGCAGCCTTTCCACGGCACTGTGCTGCCTTATTGGACTAAAAACCCAAGACAGTTCTGGGTTTACCAGATGTGAAGACAGCCATCCTGGGGCTGCCACAGCTGACCCTTTGCAGATGTTTCCTAGGTGGTTCCCCAGGGATCCTAGGACCACCCAGTTCAAGGTCCCTGAGTCCACCACTCCTGGGGCATCCAGGACAGGGAGAGAAGTTTCCAGGGACATGATGCCTGGAAAAACCATGAGCCCTCAGGCTTCCTCGGCTTTGAAGAGCCTGAGGCCTCCACCTCCTGTTTGTCTTTCAAAGGCTGTTTTCACAGTGGCGTCATCCGAGCGGAAGGCGACGTGTTTTCCCCTCCCAACGAGAACTGCACCGTCTGTGTCTGTCTGGTAAGCGTCCCACAGCCTCGTGGGTGTTTTCTTAACCTTTGGGGGTTTTAGGCAAAGGGCAGACGAGCGGACATTAAAGGTGAGCTTGGTGAATGGAGGCAGAGTTCTCGAATTGTGGATTTTGGGCAGAACCTTTAGGAGCTAAAGGTTGGGGAAATGTCAAACCTCTAGGTCTTTGTAGCATCAGGGAGGCTTCTGCTGATTGGAGTACAGCAAAGAGGCAAACAGGGGCCATCTGTTTAGGGAGGGAAGGGAATGAGATCCCTCAGAAACTTCCCACCAGGGAGGCAGTTTTTCTCTCCAGGCAAAATATTTGCCAGTACAATAAAGGTATCCTGCCCTCTGGAGGGAGAAGGCTCATTACCAAACTCAGCTGGTTAAAAGTGTTTTGCTTTAGGCAGATTCACCCCTCTAAGATCAGTTGTTAAGCACCTACTGTGTGCAGACACTAAGGCATTGGTGGTTCAGTGGTAGAATTCTCATTTTCCATGCAGAAGACCTGGTTCGATTCCTGGCCAATGCACCTCAGGCACAGCCACCACCCATCTGTCAGTGGAGGCTTGCATGTTGCTATGATGCTGAACAGGTTTCAATGGAGCTTTCACACTAAGACAGATTAGGAAGGAAAGCCTGGCAATCCACTTACAAAAATCAGCCAACGAAAACCCAATGGATCCCAGCAGCCCCGTTGGCAACCACTCATGAGCATGGTGCAGGACTGGGCAGCGTTTTGTTCCATTGCACATGGGGTCCCCATGAGTTGGGGCCAACTTGATGGCAGCTAATAACAGCGACAACTACTAAGTATGCAGACAGTGCTAGGTGCTGTCACATGTATTCTGTTCGGAGCACCCACCGCATGCCAGAAACAGTTTGCGCTTTCCATCTGCTTCTGCACTTGAGACTCCTGGCAGCTCTTCATGGTCAGCTTTGCCATCCCTATTTTACAGATGAGAAGCCTGAGGCTTGGAGGTGGCAGAGCTGGGATTTGAGCCAAGTCTGTCTGAGTCTAGAGCCCAGGCTCTGTCAGCCAACCCCTACCACCACCCTGTGACCACGTGTAACCGTGGCTCCTGGTCTAGCAGCAATGGTGGAAGCTGCAGTGTAAGATCGGGAGGCATATAAATCACTTCCTTTTTGATCTCTTACTTTATTGAGCTTTTACTGTGCTCTACGCAGTAGTCTGGCGCTACGTTAAGATCTCTCAGCGCGCCCCCCAGAGAGGCACTGTTTCCAACCCATCTCAGAGACAGGGAAGCTGAGGCTCAGAGATACGATTACTTTGCCCAAAGTCACACAACTCGTTACTGGAGGAACAGACACTGGGACTCAAGTCTGGGTGACTCCAAAGCCAGTGCTCTTTTTTAATTTTTTTGTCCTAACTTTAAAGTTTTAAAATTTATTTTTTAGTTGCAATCTTTGAATAGCCAGTATAGCTCCCTGGTTCGAAACTCAGGTGCACAGGAAGGTATAGTAAAAGTCTCCCTCTCCGCAGGAGTAACATTTGCTCTCACCCTCTCAGAATCCTTCTGGATGCCACGGAAAGCTAGGCAAGTTGTGTTCATAAAGGAGGTAGTGTGTCCTACTCTGGCCCGCCCCTCCCCTTTTCTGTGCAATGCTGTATCTAGGCACGTTGTGTTCATAAAGGAGGTAGGGTGCCCTGGTCTGCCGCTCCCCTTTTCCGTGCAACACTATCTAAGCACGTTGTGTTCATAGAGGAGGTAGTGTGTTCTACTCTGGTATGCCCCCCATTTCCATGCAACATTGTATCTTGGAGAGGAGCCTATTCTAAAGCACAATCGCCGGGAGGAACTGAGTCAGTGCAGACTGTCCTGGTGACCACGGTGGCCTTTAAACGTCTCGGATGGGTTCCTCTAGGTGGTCATTGCCTTGAACTGGAAGCCTTAGATGTGGTGTAGAATAGAGGATGAGCTGGTTGGCGATGAACCTGAAGGTCAGCAGAGCCCCGTGCCACCTCCCTGCGCCCCCCCACCTCCCGCCACCCAGTGCTATCTCTTGCCTCCTCAGGCTGGAAACGTGTCCTGTATC